ACTTAAAAAGACCTTAAAAAATTAAAAACACAAAGCAACCAAAAACTATTGTCTGGATTGACGATTTGACGGTTCAACCACACGGGTGAACAGTTTGCTAACCAAATCAACAGTTTTTGGCCAAAAAGTGGMTTTGGGGTAAAATGGTGAGCGGTTCCTGATTTTTTCGGCTTGACCATCCAGTTCGGTCGCAAATGTTCAATATTTATAAATTGAGTATCAGGTTATCAATACTTTGAAGTAGAGGCATATAAAATAATTTTAATTTTTTATTTTAAAACATTGGCTTTTTCAAAAGACCCTTAAAAATGACATATCAATGGCCACCGGTCCGATACAATATGCTCTGATATCATGTCGAAATTTTAAACCTTTGATAAAAGCAGTGATTGGTGGGTTGATGCTACGTGGCATATAAAATAATTTTAATTTTTTATTTTAAAACATTGGCTTTTTCAAAAGACCCTTAAAAATGACATATCAATGCACTGGTCCGATACAATATGCTCTGATATCATGTCGAAATTTTAAACCTTTGATAGAAGCAGTGATTGGTAGGTTAATGCTACGTACACTATCCATGAGATTAGGGGTAGGAATGGCAACGGAGCAGGGCGGGGATGGGGACCCGTCCCTGTTAACGGGGATAAAGTTATCCCCATCCTCGTCCCCATGGGGATCCCCCATTCCCTATGATTTTTTATAATGTTATCCATTTTGTTTTTGTTTTTATTTTATCTAAAAAAATAAAAATAAAATAATTAAAATTTACAATCCCATTAGAAATTATTCAAATACATTCAACCATATTTTTAAAAATATTAATATATAGATGTATGTATGTATATATATATATATATATATATATATGTTAATCGGGATCCCACGGGGCAGGGATCGGGGTCCCCGTGGGTCGGGGAGTGCTCTCCCCATCCCTACTAACGGAGATGAAAATTTCCCAATCCCTGTCCCTACGGGGGAAAATCATTAGGAAAATGGGGAAAATTTCCATCACTCATTTCAACCCAGCCCAAAAATTCTAGACATGGACCTAGGTTTTATGTTCAGGCCTGGGTCAGGGCTTGGGACTTCATTAGGCCAGCAATTTTCAAGGCCGGGCATGGGCCTAATACTTTAAGCCTAGCCCGAGCCCAGCCGGCTTGTATATATTTAAATATATGTATTTTGTAAACAAAGTACGTATATATGTTATTTATGTTATATTAAATATTTTATATAAATATTATAATATGACTAAACCTATTAATGGGTTGGGTAGCTAGACGGGCCGGCTTGGCCCGCACCTACCCGATCTAAGTCGGGCTTGGACAAGATTTTAGGCCCACATGCTAGGGCTTTCTCAAAAAAGCCTGGCCCGAGCCCAAGCCTGACTTGATAATGTATTATATTAATAAAAATATATTTTATATAATAAAAACACACACACACACATATATATATATATATATATATATATATATATATATATATATAGTATTTTTATTTATTTTTCTTCTCTTTTTTCAAGGTAATAATGGCACTTTTCATTTTTTTTAGATTTTGAAGTCTTTTAGTATAAATAAAATAACTTTTAGTTGAATTGAAAAAGAAAACAATATTTTTTTTCCATATTTGGCCCATGAACAGATCTAAATATGATATTTATATATGTAAATTTCTATATATATTTATATGCCATTCAATGTAAAACATTATATAAGTCCAATAATTTATAAATAAAATACATAAACCCTGCATTAAGTCCGGCCCGAGCCTGAGGTATAAATGTAAAGCCTGGCCCGGGCCCAACCTGGCCTATGATCACCTTTACATGACATGCTACAACCACACATGTGGAACATGCCCAATCAATAACAGCGTATAAATAGGAAGCATATTCTCGATGTGTGACTTCAGTGTTGTGGTTAAGAATTTGGATTCAGTCCTCACATGTGCTCACACCGTACTCACAGACTTTTGTTATGTATTGAGAATATCCCTCATAAATGAAAAAATATAAGTAAAGAGATATTCCAAATGTAAGGCTGTAAACGTTGTGAAAACAGTGTAAGAACAAATATTATGATGACTGAATCCGATTTCTGTATTAAAAGATCTACTGTTCTGCATGGTCAACAACATAAATTAATCACGATTCACGAATGAACAAACAAAACAATATTCCATACACATACACGTGGGTGGGCAAACCCAACCACATAAATTAATCGAGTCTTTTCTTTGCCCAAAAGACAAGAAAATGATGCAATTTAAACGGTTATTTGACTCTTTTTCTTTTCCTTTTCCTTTTCCTATGTATTGGGACAACTTTAATGATTTTGGTGTTTGTAAATTGCAATGTTTCGTAACTAGCTCATTTAAAATCTTTGGTGGCAGTGGCAGAGCGCAATTTTTATTTAGGGCCTGTTTGGGAGGCTGAGCTGAATATCGAGTTAATATGTTGGTTCAGCTGCTCTCAAGTACTCCAGATATGTCACTAAAAGAGGGAGAAGAAAACACATGACATGTCACCTTAGTTCCGCATTTGTCCTTTTAGCTAAAAGATTTGATTGCAAATATTCTTTTAGCACTCACCACCCATGGTATCATGTCAAGAAGCTCTCTAACGGCCCTGGTTGTTTTTTCCAAACAACCAAGCTTCTTGTTTGGCAATGATGGTTCATCTAGTCTGAAAGTGTAGGCAACCCAACAGTTCTGCTAGTTCATCATTTCTTGGAGAAGTTTTAATTCAAAATTGTTTAGTCATTTTTGTAAAATAAGCTCTTTTAAGTAGTTGTGCAATCTAGTCAAATCAAGTTGAGTTTCGACATATCTTAACTCGATTCAACTAAATTATTCATATGGCTGTGTTTGAGACTTTTGAGTGCAGTGGAAAAATCCATTATGTGAAAGTCAATCAATACAAAAATTCATCATGTAAAGATTCATAATTTAAAACTATTTGGACCATTGGGATTTTTTTTAAGTGAGAATAGATGTAAAGGTACATCGATTAACAATGTAAAAATCAGCCAAAAAGAGGGTTACATCGATTTTCGGTGTAACTTTTACATGGGAAACAAACTGCTACAAAAAGGACAGGTGTAGAGTTTTATACAAGAAATAAATAGGTGTAAATGCGAACTGATGGCATTGATTCACATTTACACCTCATTCAAATGCAGCCTATATTTCAATTTGAGTTCCAGTTCAATTCAAACTCTATTTTTCAATTCAATCAGGTTCAAAATCTCAAAACCAATATATTTTTATATTTTATAAATATAAATATAATATTAAATGAGCTAAATTTGCAAGCTTTTAAGCCAAATATTTTATTTAATCAATTTCAAATTCAAATAACAAATCTAAATTGCTCTAAAATTCGAACTCGAGCCAAAATTATTCGATTAAAGTTCGCTTTAATTGCATCCCATTTTTAAGTGGATATTTAAAAATTTTGCATTATAGATTATGGGATGAAAATCGGGTACCTGATCGGGCCTATCTTCCGGACCGGGCCATCTCATATTTGAACAAAACTCAATATAGGGCTGTTTGCAACCGTGGAATTGATGAACAAATGATGATCAATTCAGAAGATTTTAACTTTCAATAGTAAGCCACATCATCCTTCCAAATAGCAGAAATAAAGCCAAACGGTGCCCACTTCCCCCACAAAACCTACTATATTTTCACCCTACGGAGGAATCTTGTGGCCAAATCCAGACCATTCATCATAAGGGGCCTCCGAATTAGTGGCCAAACTATAAATGATCAACCCTAGATTCATTCTCACCAGCAAAAGCCTCTGTCTTTCCTCTGTCTCAACCCCCTAATCCATTGCATCATCGAAGTGGGTGCCGACAAGGCGACAATCACTAGACTAAAATTGGAATGCAAAAGTTAATGACTCCTAAGGGTTTTATTGCAATGTATGAAGTGCACTTGCAGTGCATCATCATTGGATCATATCAAGTGGCCATGATTTACTTAATTATCATCTAGAAGTAGATCAGACGGTTGAGTGCTCTTGCACAAGTAATTTTATTTGTGCAAGCGCGCTTAGCGATACTAATTAGTAATTACCAAACTTGATTAATTAATTCGTTGGTACAGAGAATTTTCGCGTCGTTTCAGGTGCACGTCTGTGCCCGTGCCACGAGGCCAGATAGATCCTCCCTGGCGCACGAGCTCTCCTATTTGTTGCGTTCGGCAAACGTGTGGGCCCTCTAACTGCCTAACCACACACACTCTCTCTCGTCTGAAGGTTGTCAGGTTGTGGCATGGACCATAGAACTAGAGTAGCTATTAAAGCCCCTAGCCCTTCATCTTACGACGAGAACCGAGGCAACAGATCCAACGGTTCAGCTTCAATTTGCCATCTTCTTGAAACAAAGATCTTTACAACCGAGAAGTGGCGGTGTTGGGACAAGTCATGTGATACACTAAATACTCGTTCTCTACGAGTCAAAAAACACACTCAAGTTCAGTCAAATAAAGGCTTCCAAATAGCTATCATTAGAACAAGACGCGGTTCGGAGCAATGACAGCCTGTTTTGAACCGTCCGATATGACTACTTAACCTGATTTTGGCGGGTACCATTTTGATGGGCAGATTTTGGAGGTTTGTACTCTGTAGTGATAGTCCATGCACGCGAATTTCGGTGCATACACCTACACGTGATCATCAAGGTTACGTGAAGAGAGATACCTTTTATTCGCCTGAAGCTCCATTAAGACAAAGATATCCCTATATATACTTAAAATGACAGAACGACCAAACAAAAAACCTTGTTGGTGTCAGGGGTATGCTGGTCTATTTGGAAATGTTTTGCCTCTTTCGGTGTAGCATTGTCAAGTAGTAGGAAAGACAGGCGGAACCTGCTAGATAGAGGAGCCAATAAAGTATAGCCACGTGGCGACTAGGAGGATTCCCCGGAAGGTCAATAGAAAAGGGAAGTGGGGACCACCGAGTCGCGCGGCTTTTCAAAGGAGCGAATGCGAGACTCTCACTTCGACCGTTCGACGCTCGACAGACTGCGAAGGACGTACCTAAGAGGAGAAAAACACTCTCTTCTCTAGTCTTATTTTTTCTCTGGTGAAATTTTCCGGCCTTGCCACTGCTACCGCCGGCGAGTTTGAGAGTTTCGTAAGGCTTTCTGGCGGGAGAAGCTGTACGCACGAATCTCTTCTTTGGCTTCTTCGTCTCAGGGTACTGTTTTTGGTTTTTCTCTTGTCCTCTGTTCTTGTCATGAGCCTCCAGTGAGAAATACAGAGATTTTGCTTCTCCTTTCTTAGCGATAGACACGGAGAGTCTTGGCATCCGAGGCTCCGGTAGGGTTTCGATTCTTCTTCTATCATATATATTTATTTCTGTAATGTGTTTGTGTTTTGTGGTTTTGTTGGTTTTGTTTTCTCGACTAATGGATCTGGAATCGAGCTACTAAGTGCATGGGTGTTTCTAATGGCGTTTCTTTCGTCGAAATATATTGCATTATGGTTTTGTCGATGTAGAACGTAGGTTCTCCGTTAGTTTCTTTTTGTTTCTTGAGATTTATAGAACTGTCCATCTGTCTTCTTATTTATTTGTTCCGTTCTCGGATTTGTGGGTCTTATAAGACCATTCTCGGATTTGTTCCGGGCACTTTACTGCAGACTGATTGATTAGTTTAAGAAAACAAATCCTTGATGTTCTGTTCCTGTTTATGGAGCTTTCGTCCTGTTTTTCATAGACGAACAGCCTTTTCAAGTTCCTTCTTATGTGCATGAAGCACTTGAGTGAGCGATTTATCATCGTTTCTTTGTTCTCTCTCTCTCTCTCTCCATATTTACTAACTTCATCAGTTTTTTATGTTCTTCTTTAAAGTTCGTTGTATACATGCTGTGAGCCTTTCTGAAGGTTCTTTTGATTGTTCAAGGAGCTTGAAAGGCTACTGACTTCTTCTTTGAGGGTGCTTTTTTTAATCCTTTTTTAGACGTCAAGAGAGTTCTCTCCCTAATTTCTCCTTTTTTTTTCTAGTTCGTTTTTTATTGATACAGATTTTATACTCATGATTCTTAAGGACTATGAGTCTATGACTTCTTCTAGTTTTCAACGATTCAGGAGACACCTCTGTGGATTTTTTATTCTATCTGTTCTCTAAGGCGCCTTATCTGATATTCTTATTTTTTTCTTCAGCGATGGATAACATCAAATTTCCATTCAGAGGGATTATTAAAGATGTAAAAGGAAGGACACCATGCTATAAGCAAGATTGGATTAGTRGACTTCGTTCAGGCGTCAGGTAGTTTTTTGTTTGATTGAAACCGAGTAGTAATGTAATTCTATCACAGGCAGAGGGGCTTTACAACTTAAATTCAAAATGTTGTTCTTTTCTGTCAGGATATTGGCTCCAATTGCCTATATTTTCTTCGCTTCGGCTCTTCCAGTTATTGCCTTTGGGGAGCAATTGAGTAGAGAAACAGGTTGGCTTCTGTTTATATTTCCTTTTCTTCATAGAATGTCATCATAATTATCATCTAAGACTTGTCCCATCTATCTGGGATCGTTTACATGAATCCTGTTTAACCGTTCCGTTCTATTCACGGCCATATCCTTTGTTTTTCTTCTTCTTCATGGAATGTGTGATCTGAATAAACTATTTCAAGTTTAGCTCTGAACTAACAAGTCATTGCTGTTTTTTTTTTTTTTTTGAGTTTTTAAATTGCATTTGATTGTATGTTTTTTGTCTTTAGATGGAAGCTTGACCACGGTAGAAACTTTAGCTTCTACTGCTATTTGTGGTATCATACACTCAATATTTGGTGGACAGCCCTTATTGATACTTGGAGTTGCAGAGCCCACTGTTATAATGTACACTTATTTGTACAATTTTACCAAAGGAAGGGAAGATTTGGGAAAAGAACTGTACTTGGCTTGGGCAGGATGGTAACATGAAGCAACTTCTTCATAATTCCACATTTGAGATTCCTTGATTTTTATCTAACATAATAAATTTACTAACATAATCTCTCTTTGCAGGGTTTGCATCTGGACAGCACTTATGTTGTTTCTTCTAGCCATATTCAATGCTTGCACTGTTATCACTAGATTTACGAGGATTGCAGGGGAGCTTTTTGGCATGTTAATTGCTGTTCTTTTCATCCAAGAGGCTATCAAGGTRTCTRTTCAATCTATAAYAAAAGAAACTAAGAGKTTAGCACATCTGCAGAATAAAAATTGATGCTGACAGCCTGACACTCTATAATGCTTGATTCACAGGGAGTGGTGAGTGAATTCAAGATACCCAAAGCTGAAGACCCAAAGGAAGAAAAGTACCAGTTCCAGTGGCTTTATGCAAATGGATTACTGGGGCTCATATTCTCCTTTGGTTTACTCTATACAGCTTTAAAAAGCAGGAGGGCAAGGTCATGGCGATATGGCACAGGTTTGTGAAGTGATTTGTGAGAGACTTTTAATAGCAAAAGGAAAGATGATATTCTCTTTTTTCTACTCAAAGTGACATGCATGCCAACCTGAATTTCTCCCACTGAATTTAGGGTGGCTTAGAAGTTTCATTGCGGACTATGGTGTTCCTTTGATGGTATTGGTTTGGACGGCATTATCATTCAGTGTACCAAGCAAAGTTCCTTCTGGAGTTCCTAGGAGGCTTTTTAGTCCTCTTCCTTGGGATTCAGACTCATTATACCATTGGACAGTAATCAAGGTAAAAACATTCTGGCAAAATAATATTTCTTTCTGTTTATTTCTCAGTGGTCCTTTGCTTGTTTCAATTCCATATAAGAAATTAGAACCTAATCACAATACTGCATCTATATTAAGCAGTCTTTTCTGAAGGCATGTGCTCCTTTTCTTTGAACCTATATTTTAGAGAATTGTAACTTTGCAATATGTTATAATGACATAATTGAGAGGGATATATTCTCAATTTATGAATGACAAGATAGAGTTCCACTATGTATGGCTTAAATGAAATTTCACATTTTGTTTAGGTGCCTTTGTAGGAAAAAAGGTGGAAAACCACAGTGCATATCTAGTTATTATCATTGCTCATAAAAATGGTCAGACTAAATGACCAGCTTATTTACCTAAATTTCAGGATATGTGGAGGGTCCCTGTGGTATACATATTTGCTGCGTTTATTCCAGCTGTGATGGTAGCAGGTCTTTATTTTTTTGACCATAGCGTTGCTTCCCAGATGGCACAGCAAAAGGATTTCAATCTCAAGAACCCATCTGCTTACCATTATGACATCTTTTTGCTGGGGGTCATGGTATTATTTCTTTCTAATTATGTTTGTTTATATGTATTTCCTCTAGGTCCTATTTTTCTTCATAGCTTATGTGCTGCTTTAAAATTACGGTTTCAGGTTTTATTGTGTGGATTGATTGGATTACCTCCTTCAAATGGGGTCCTCCCACAATCCCCTATGCACACCAAGAGCCTTGCTGTTCTTAAGAGGCAGGTCTGTTGAAGGAACTGAAAACAAAATTTCTGCTGTATATTCATACAAGTACAGTTGCTTTAAATACTTACAATCTGAACTGCAAGCTGCAGTTGCTTCGAAAGAAGATGGTAGAGAGTGCTAAGGAATGCATCAAGCAACAAGCTAGCAACTCAGAAATCTATGGCAAGATGCAAGCAGTGTTTATAGAAATGGATGCAGCTCCAAAAGTAAGTATTCTAGGTTCTCTATTCATACACAAATTGCTTACTCTGGCACTGTCATCTCTCCTAGTCCTTGGCTTGCACTAGACAACAGAACAAGGAAACATATAGTATGCTCTCCTGTTCCCGGACCTTGCAAGATAAATGCAAGGGGAGGGGGAGACATTAAAAAGGGCCATTACCCAACTATGGTACCAGCTATCCAGCTGCTTTCAGACTACATTCTATGCTTGCCAACCAGGTTTTACCACTGCACCAAGCAATGCCACCAAGAAAAAGACCTTAAAAAATGTTTATTAAGATTTTGTTCACCCTACTATTCCGACATAAAGGTATGCACAATTGTTTCCTTTCCCCTTTTAATTCTTCTTTAATTGTAAGAATGTGCTTTGCCATGTAGACTGTGGTTACAAAAGAGCTCAAGGGATTGAAGGAGGCAGTGATGAGTGGTGAAAATGAGGGTGGAGACATGAAAAGAAAATTTGATCCTGAGAAGCACATTGATGAATATTTGCCTGTCCGTGTTAATGAGCAGAGAGTGAGCAACCTTTTACAGTCTGCTCTCGTGGGTGCATCTATATTTGCAATGTCCATAATCAGGACAATACCTACCTCAGTTCTCTGGGGATACTTTGCTTACATGGCCATTGACAGCCTCCCCGGGAACCAATTCTGGGAAAGGATTCTTCTTCTTTTTGTTACACCTGGCCGGCGGTTTAAGTAAGTTATCTTTCTTACAAGCAGATAAGTTCAGTTATCTAGCAAGTGCTGGTACATGGGTTATTTTTAACAGAAAATACTAGCTTCCTAATTAGGATAATCTAGTATATATAATTCATAACTTTCCACAACTCTTTTAATGATTTCTTCTTTTTTGTGCAGGGTTCTGGAGGGTGATCACGCTTCTTTTGTGGAGTTAGTTCCCTTCAAATACATTGCTACGTTTACACTCTTCCAGTTTGTATATCTTCTGATCTGTTTTGGAGTGACATGGATACCTATAGCTGGAATACTGTTTCCCTTACCTTTCTTCCTTCTCATAAGCATAAGACAGCACGTCCTCCCCAAGTTGTTTCAGCCAAGACACTTGTGGGAATTGGATGCTGCTGAGTATGAGGAAATTGCTGGTGCTCCTTGCCGCAGTCGCAGCCTCTCATTTAAGGTGAGTTCAATCATCACGTCTATGGATGAGCCTATAAAGGACATAAACTGATAATGTTATCCCCATACCCTTGCCACACCACCCAAAAAAATGAAGTGTTTTCTTTGTAGAGTGACAAGACTATTGCGTTTAAATATCTAAATTGACCTGTGAAACATGTGAATAGGAAATGAAAACTGATCCTACGTGTGAGGAGAGTGGAGTAGAAATGTGCGATGCAGAGATTCTGGATGAGCTCACCACCAGCAGAGGGGAGCTGAAGCTTAGAACTGTGAGCTTCAGCGAGGAGAGAAGCTTCCAGGCAAGAGAATTCTCTCTTAGCTTCTGATCTTAATGTACTAGATGGAGGTCTCACCATTTGTTCACATGTTATCTCTTCGTGCTTGTGGGCATGGTGTATGTTACGACGATATTATGCATGACATTATGTGGATTCAGGCAATTCGTAAATTAATAGATGGGTATTTTTTGTGTTATGGCAGGTTCACCCTGAGGATCAAGCCACTCAAAACAGGCGAGAAATGAGCTGATGGCACAAGAAAATTGGGGATGCTGATGAAACGATGATGTTTCTCAGTAAGGTTGAATTATTGGAAAAGTACAACCTTCTGTTGGGCAATTCGCTATAAAACCTATAAATGATGAAAACTGAGGGCGGGAGCAAAAGAGCATCAGAATTGTTTTGGGGTAGCCCAAGGGTTCTTTAATTATAGATCTTTTGGTTAAATAGAGGAGAAATAAAGTTGGGCTCTCTTTGTTTATACTTTATAGTGAAATTTCATTTGCAATGGTACAAATGTATGGGAATGCAAATTAGAAAATGTAAATACTGGTTTACTTTTGCGTTGGGTTGTACTTTGCTTCAGGTCTTATTTTACTTCATCTGCAATGCAAACAAACAAAAGAAAGCAAATGCTTAGATATCAGAATTTGCGGTGGGTATTTGCATTCCCATGCTTTTGCACCAGTGCAAATAAAATTGATTTGGAAACAAACCAGGGGGGAAAGCAAGAAAGAACAAAAGGACAGACAAAATGTACATGGGCGGGTCAAGGGGCTTGGATGCATATGTACTTATTGAATACAAGTATGGATTAATGGGTCTTTTATTATCTTTTGTTATATTAATTATTAGTCATTATTTAATATAAGAATGTGAGAGTTCTCTCTTGCATACCTTCTCTTAGGTTGCGTTTGGAAACGATGCAAATGGAGTGTAAATCTCAGTTCGGGTAAATTTGCACTTTGGTTCACTTTTGCCTGTGTTTGGCAACCTTACATTTATGTATTGGCAAGTGATAGAAAACACATTTTTCAATGCATATTTATATTGATAATAAGATTTTAAAATACATTTATGTGCATTCAAGTGGGATTTTGATAAAAAAGGCATATGCTATATAGTTTATTGGAATTGTGTTTTCATCAATTACAGTTACAAGTCTATTTGGTAATAAGGTAAATTTGTCAATACAAAACTAATCCAACTTTGCAATTTATATGAACCATTTTACACTCTATATGTTTGCATTGCAGCCTTGGCCTTGACTTTATTCATTTGGATGGTGTTAGGAAATTTAACAGAAATGTTCACCCTGAATAGCTAAAATTTTGCCCCTTTTTATGGAGAAACTCTTCCCATTTAATTGAAATGTAGTGCTGCTTAAATATTTTCAAATTTCAACTGCTTATCAAGTAGTGTCTTTTCTGTTCAAATTTGATCTGATTAAGGTGATCTGAATATGGATCCACCGTAATCCGGTTAGCAATAAGTATATATTTTATATCTACGTAAGATTATATGCTTCTGTTGGTTGGAATGTTGTATTTTTCGTGCAGACTTCAAGTCTAAATTCTCAAGATCTGAATCCCATAGATAAAATCCATTATGATTTGGACTACTAATGAACTTTGTGAAACGGCTATTTTTTACCCTAAAATTTAAAGAAAATGTCATTTTTGCCCTCAAATTATGGTTAGAAGGCCATTTTAAGGCAAAAATAGATGTTGGGATACATTGTTCCGTTAGACAAATAATAAAATAATAAAGATTGCTGGTCTATAGTCTATACTCTATACTGCTTAAGTCAAAAAGTCTGAAAAATTACATGTGCGTCTTACTTAAAATTTCCACCTATTAATTATTTTATTTAATAATTGATTAACAATAAATTATCAATAAAACAAAAAATAATAATTTGGCTCTTAATTTAATTTCAAGGGAAAAATAAAATATAATACCTGCCCCCCCTCCCCCCCTCTCTCTTCTTCTTCTTCGCCTATTCTCTCTTTAGTCGTAACCACTGACCGAACCAATGGTCGCCCCAACTCTTCCATGATTCTGTATGATAGATTACTTATTTGCAGAAGAACCCAGTTTGAATCTTGATAAAATAAATAATTAAGTATTTAACCCCTTTATCCCCTTGACTAATTCAGTTATTCTGCCATGGACATCTTTGTCTAGGATCCAAGTAGGTTTCACAAGAACTGAAGTCGCTGCATAAGTTGACAAAACTACCATCCTCCATTTGGTTCGATAGGAGTTGGATTGCCGTTGAGAGAAGCATTTCAAATTTTCAATGGCCTAGCAGCTTCCACTAATGAGTTGATAATCGTTAAATGACATTTACAAGTAAAAATAGTTTGCTGGCTAAGTGCCTATTAGAATCAAAACAATGATCAGAGAGATCTGCTCCTGGAACTCAAAGTGAGCCCCTACATGTAAAAGATAGTATTAAGCAGAGTAAAGGCATAGCTAGGTTACCTTAAACAGAAGCATTGTTAAACCTTAAACAGAAGCATTGTTAACAAGAGGGGTGGTTAGGACTAAAGAGAGGGTAGGGGGAATAAGAAGAAGAAGAAAGAAGAGAGAGAGAAAGAGAAATTGTTTTTTATTAATAATTAATTATTAAATAAAAAATAATTATTTTTGTTTTCATTCTTGCTCACATGTGAACAGGTGAGAATTTTAAGTAATGCCACATCAATTAACCTTATTATTTTATTATTTGTCTAATGGAATCGTTAATTACATCTCTAACATTATCTATTTTGCCTTAAAATGGTTTTTTCACCATGGTTTAAGGGCAAAAAATGTTTTTTCTTAAACTTTAGGATCAAAAGTGACCTTTTTGCAAAGTTCAAGGGTCATCAAAGCCAAAAATCTAAATTTATATTTGTACTAGCAACTAAGCCCATGCATTGGCTTAATATATGTTAGGTTTTGGCTGGTAAATTTTGGTTTTTGGCCTTAATTTGAGTTAAGCTAAGATTTATATTTAAAGTTGGGCAGAAGTTAGGTTTCAATTGACAAATTTAGATTTTTGGCATCAATTTTAGTTTAGGATAAGGTCTTTATTTAGAGTTGTTCATATATTGGCCTTTAACTTAATCCAATCCATCTAATTTATTAAGATCAAAAGGTGTGTGTGCGTGTGTGTGTGTGAGAGAGAGAGAGAGAGTTTTAAGAATGATCTTATTGGAGAGAGTAATGATCTAATTATCAGAGACAATTGAGACGAAAGGTCTTTATTTTGAAATTTTATATTTTTAATCATTTAATTTAAAAATAAAGTCACGTGTGTGAAATGAGAGGAGGTGTGAGCTATTGTTTAAAAATGTATTTTTTAAAGGAAAAACAAAGTAATAGTAATTCACCAAAGTTTTTATATAATTCTAGTTCTTTACATATAAAATAGTAGAAAAAAAATTTCTTTTCTTTTCTAGTTATAGAGCTTCAAATTATTTCCTTTTTATATAGCTAATATATTATATGAAGTACATAGATGGTGGCTCATTTACTTATTTGGCTAGTTGTAGCATAGACTTGATCTCAAATCCCGCTACCACCAGGATTGGGGGATTAAGATTTGGCGGGGGC